CTCTTCCTCCTGTCCCTCGTCTTACTTGCTCCCTTCTTTGTGTTTCTCGTCTTGTTCTCTTATTCTCTCTGCATTTCGTTTCCTTTCTTTTGACTGTTGTTTCCTTGCTTAGACGTTTTGTGCCTTTCTCCTGATCGCCTGGTCTCTTCTCCTTGTTAATTATTACCTCCTTTTCGCTGTTCATTCTTTCCTACCTGCCGTGCTGTCTGTTCCGTATGTTGAATTTTCTACTAATGATCTCTACATTGTCTATTATGCTCCTTTGTCCTAGCTTCCATGATATCATCTACCTCTTTTTTTCTTCATCCTGGTGTTCTTTTCTTTCTTTCCCTCTATTTCCTTCCTGGTCTTTTGTTATCTTCCCTCCTTTGTCTCTTGTTTCGTCTTATTTATTCTTTACTTTATTTTCTCTGTTTCTTTATGTTGTTTCGTTGCTTCCTTCTCGTCTTTCCTTTCCTCGCTAGTTATTACTTCCTTTTTCTTACCTCTTATCCTTCTTTCCATCTTCGTTCTGCTTTGTCTCTTCCTTTTTTCTGGTTCCCTTTACTTATCTTGCTTACTTCCTCTGCTGTTATGTCAATTCTTTCCAGTTATTCTGATCTTGTTTCCGTATCTTCATTGTTCCCATATCTTCTTCGTGTCGCTTTATTTCCTGATGCCTATCTTTTGTTCTGTTTTGCTCTCCCTTTTCCGTTGTTTGATTTTTTTTCTTGTCTTACTCTCTTCTCCATTCTCCTTATTACCTCATACTATTCTTCCCTTGTGTCTTGCTGCCTTTACCTTTGTCCGCTTTGCGTTTACCATATATTTTCGCTCATATTGCTTTTTTTTCTGTTCTTTATCCCTCTCGTTGGCTTCCTCTTTGTTACTCGCTAACTTTCCCCTCTATTCTTTTCTTTCTTGCTATCTGTAATTATATATTTTCTTCCTTCGTATTTCTTTTACTGTCTTGTATTCTTTGTGTGCTGTTTTTACTGTCTTTTCCTTATTCAGTATCTTCCTCTTATTACATTTGCTTGTTGCGTTTTGTTTTCTTCTTTACTATCTTGTTCGCTCTTTCTCTTATTTTCTCATTCTTTTCCTTTGCTACTTACCTTCTTTTATTCTTTATTCCTCAGCTTTTCTCTTGTGCCTTTTGTCCTCTTTTCTTGCTTGCCTCCTTTCTCGTATTATTTCCCCCTTTCTAATTTCGATTAGTGTCTCTTTCTTGTTTTCCTTGCCTTCTTTATTCATAATGTCATCTCGTTATTTATAGTTCTTTCTCTCTTGTCAATTCCTTCCTGGCTCCTGCCTTTCTTTTTCATGGCTCCCGTTTCGTTTCTGATTCTTTTTTCTGTTACCTTGTCTGCCCTGTTTCTGCCTATTGCTCTTTTGTTCTCCCTCCCTTTCTTTTCCTTCTCTTCTTTTATCTCGCTTGTCATATTATTTTTCTCTTCATTCCTGCTAATCCCATTTTGTCGCTATTTTCTGTCTTCTTCCTCCTACACCTTATCCTCTTCTCTGTCTTTCCGTCTTTCTTGTCTTTTGTTCTTGTCTTTTATTCTTTTCATTCCTTTGCCTGCTGTTTCTTGTCCCTATTGCTTCTTTTGTTATTGCTTTTACTCCTTTTCGCGCTTTCCATTTCTTTCTTTCTTACTTCTTGTTAGTCTTTCTATTTTCTTCGTTCCGAGAGCTTTTCTTGTTCCCTTATACTTTACTATTCCCTGTTGTTTTCCCTAATTTTTCTCTTTCATTATCCCTTCTTCCTGTTTCTTGTCTTGTCCTTTCTCATTATCGTTGTTTGCTTTTGCTTTATGTTATTTTCTTGGCTTTTACTTTTTTTCTTTCTCCCTTCCAGTTTTGTCACTTCTTCTGTTCTTTGTTCCTTTTGATTGTTTTGCTTTTTATTGTTTCCTTTCTCTACCTCTCTCTTATTTCTCTCCTTTTTTATCTTGTTTCCATTGTTTCCCACCTCATATGTTTGATAGTACTTTCGCTCTCTGTCTCTCTCCTTTTCGTAGCTTCTTTCTTTCCCTCTCATTATTTCTTTCTTCATTGCATTTTTATGTTTTTCGCTGTTTCTTATCTCCTTCTCTTCCTCCTTCTTTCGATTCATGTTGCCTACTTATAGTGTCGATTTTTCTCATGCCTTTTCTTTTCCTGTCTCTTCGTCTTCGCTCTTTCTCTTCTCTGTTGCTTCCTTCAATATTTTGTTACTTTTCTCTCCTCCTAATATTTTCCTCATCGTTGTCCTCTTTTCTATTTCAGATTCTCTCCATTGATAGCGTTTTTTAATTATTTCCCCTTCGTTGTTGCTCTTCTCACTCATATTGTAAGTTTTTCTATCTTCATTTTCCTCTATTGTATATTGCTACTTTTTGTATTGTCTCTGCTTCTTGTTTTCCTTGTTTTGCTCTTATGTATCCTTACTTGTTGCTTATTCCTTTCTTACATATTTTTCTGTTGTGTGCTTTTATCTTCTTCTTCTTTCTCTTTCTTTTTGGTCATTTTTGACCTCTTTCTTCCCTTCCCTTTTATGTTGCTTTCTCTATTTTCCTTCGTTTTTTTCCCTTCTCTCACTCTTATGCTTTTCTATCCCTTCTCTGTTCATCTTTCCACTTCTTCTCTCGCTTCTTCTCTCTTTCTTTTCCTAGGCTTTCTCTGTCTCTCCTGTACTCTCCTGTTTCTAGCTTTTTCTCTTCTTATGAATGTTTTTTCCTTTCATACTTCTTTTCGTAATCTTCCTTGTTGTCTTCCTCTCTTAGTTATTCCCTTTTCCTTTCTTTCATATTCTTGTCTTCTCCTCTTTTCATCTTCCTTTCTGCTTTAGCTCTTTCTTGTTCTTCCTATCCTTCTTCCTTTGCTATTTTTTGTTTCTTGCTTTCTTCGTTATCATTCTCTTTCAGGTTATAGCTTTTCTGTTTCGTCGTTATCTTTCCTGTCTTTCTCTTCTCGGTTTCCTTCTGTTATATTCTTATTGTCACTTCTCTCTGCTCTTATAGTTCCTCCTCACTGGTTTTTCTTGTCGTGTTCCTCCTTGTTTGTTTTGTCTTTGTCCTTTAACTTCCTTACTCCGCTTTCTGTTCTTTCTAATTATCATATCCTTGGATCTTCTGCTTTCTTCTATGTTTCTGTTGCAACTACTTATTGCTGCTTCCTTATATTTTTCTATTTTCTCTTACACATTTCCTGATACCTCCTTCCGCCTCATTGCCACTTCCTATTTCCTACTGTCGTTTCTCTTCCTTTCTCGATTCCTTCCTTTCCTTGCCTTATCATGTCGCCTCCCGTTCTTGTCTCTACTTCTTCTTTACTGTTCCCTTTTCCTATCTCTTTTCTGTGCCTTGTCCATTTCGCCTTATTCTCATTATTGATTGTTCTGTCTACTTCCTGCCTCCTGCAATTCCATTTTTCTTACATACTTCTTTCCTTCTTATCTTTCCATTGTCTTGCCTATTATTTTATTATTCTTTTCGCTTATTTTTAACTTTTTCTCTTCTTCCATATTCCTTGCTTCTTTCATACTACCTCTCTCTCGCTTATTCTCTCCTGTGTTCTTTTCCTCATCTATTTCTTCCTATTTCTTTCCTTCTTTTCTTGCATTCTTCTATTTCTTGTAATAGACTTCGCTAGCATATTTACCTTTCTCTAATTTTTTTCCTTCTTGTTCATTTTGTTTGGCTTGCTATCCCTTATTTCTCCGCGTGTACTTACTACTTCTGTCTTTTCTTACTCCTTGTTTATCATGCTTACTTCTCCTCTTACTGCCTTTCTTTCCTTGCTTTTATATCTTTAGTTCTTTCCTTCTCCATCTCATTCTTCTCCTGTTATATTTTTAGTCTCTTCTCTTCATCTTCCAATGCTTGCTGCTTCGTGTTCTTGTTCCTCCCTTTTGCCTCTTTCCTTCTGCTTTCCACTTCTTTCCTTTATCTTCATTGCTATTCTCTCCTTTGTCTGCCTTGTTTTTTCCGTCTCTTCCTTGTCTTCCTCGTCGCTCTTCATTTCCTACGTTGACATTTTAATTATTTTCACTTCTTTCTCGTAACACCTTCTTCTTCTCTACTCTTTACTAGTTAATGAGTTCTCACTTCTCGTCCTTTTTTCATTCTCTTCCTTTCCCCTCAGTTCCTTCTTTATTATGTATTCTGCATTTATGCTTTCTCCTACTTCTCTCGCTCTTGGCTTATTTGTCTCTTACCCCACCCATTGTTTTCTCGCTATTAATTCTCGTCTGCTTCTTTATCTCTTGTTATCGCTTTCTTCTTAGCTTCTTCTTTCTTCCTTACTTCTTTCTTGCTTTCCCTTTTCTACTATTTCGTATTATCTCCTGTACTGTCCCCTATTGACTGCTTCTTCCCTTCTAGTTTTTGGTTTTGTTGCTTTCTAGTTGTCTTCCTCTCACTTATCTTGCCTTCTTTCCCTCGC